GTCCTGGAATTCTGGTCGTGGGCAGGAGTGGGGGAGGAGCAGGACTTGGCAGTTGGAAGAGTGAGATTTGTTGGACCCCATGCTGGGGAGCTGGGCGAGGCTCCGGCCTGTGGCTGGGACTCAGCACGTATTGCACCCTCACTGAAGCTGCTAATAAAATACCTGACACTGCCCTGGCCCGGCGGCTCAGCCGGTTAGAGTGTCAGTCCTGTATACGGATAGGTTGTGGGTTCAATTCCCAGTCAGGACACATACCTGGGTTGTGGGTTTGATCCTTGGTTGGGGCATATATGGAAGGCAACCAATAGATGTTCTCTTTCACATCGTTGTTTCTCTCTTTCTCTCTCCTCCTTCCCCTCTCTCTCTAAAATCAATAAGCATATCTTCAGTGAGGAGTAAAAAAAAAAAAAAAAAAAAAATCTGATACCACCCCAATGAGCCCAACACAACTTCCTGGGGAAGGGAGCTGTCCCTTTGGCTCAACGTTGGCTCCTCAGTGCCCAGCGTGGGGCCTGGCCTGGCTGAAATCATTGATGAATGAATGCAAGATGGTCTGCTCTGTCTAGGGGCTGGGGTCAGACTGGGTGCTTTCTCAGTGTCCCCTCCAGAGCATCTGGTGGCCCATTTTTAGGTCTCAAGGTCACTGCCAAGAAAGAGAAGCTGCTAAAGTGACACCTCTATGCACCCACATGACTCAACACAAAAGATAACAGGAGCGCTGCAAAAACAAACCTCTCAAGTGTCCGTCCCCTGCTCCCCTGAGGACAGTGTCAGCGGCATCAGATGGAGGCCGGTGACCTGCTGGTCCTTGGGCATCAGGGTGGCCCAGAGGTCATCTGGAGCTCTCTGCTCGGCAGACGGGGTGGAAGGAATAAACGGAGGTGCAGATAAACACCGCATGTGGCCGCGGCAGGGGCACCCGACAGGGAAATTGTAAAATTGGCACCATGCAGAGATGGGCGAAGGCGGATGAGAGGGAGAGAGCCCCGAGCCTAGGCTGAGGTCTTACCTAGGGAAAGCAGGTGACTCTCAGCAGGGGCTAGTGAACCAGGTTGCCTGGAACAGTGGTTGGCAAACTGCGGCTCGCGAGCCACATGCGGCTCTTTGGCCCCTTGAGTGTGGTTCTTCCACAAAATACCGGCTTGTCCACAAAATACCGACTTCTGCGCATGGGCCATGAAGTTTTAATCGCACTGTACGTGTGCGCCTGCACGTGGTATTTTGTGGAAGAGCCACACTCAAGGGGCCAAAGAGCCGCACGTGGCTCGTGAGCTGCGGTTTGCCGACCACAGGCCTAGAGCAGCAGTCGCCAACCTTTTGGACCTCACGGACCACCAGTGGTCTGCGGACCACCGATTGGCGACCTCTGGCCTAGAGGAAGGATGTGTGTGGTGAAGACTCAGCTCTTTCACGCTGGGTCCAGTGGAAAGCAGGCGTTCAGACTCACCGGCCAAACTCCCAGTTGTCCAGGCACAGGTGTGGTGAAAGGCAAGGTGGGGTCGTGGTTAGGAGTTTGAAAATCCCAGTGGGTTACTTTTCATTGTTTATAGAATGGCAAGAATTATCTCCTCCTGGAATACTGAGAGGATTAAATGAAAACATTTATGTAAAATCTCAAAATGCTGTCAGTGGTGGAGATGCTGATAACCTGCCTCCCAGGTGGCCATGCAGCAGGCTCTAGCTGGGCAGACATTAATAATCTAGTCTGGGTGAGAGTTTAATGCAGGGCCGGCATGTCTGGCCCACTGCCTATGTTTATAAATAAAGTTTTATTGGAACACAGTCATGCTCATTTATTTGGGTATCATGTCGCAGTGACAGAGTTGAGCAGTGATGACAGAGACTCTCTGGTCCTCAAAGCGAAATGGCCCTTTACAGGAAAAGGGCTTTAACTGCCTGGCCCTTTACAGGAAGAGTTGCTGACCTGCCCTCATGGAGTAGTAGATAACCAGCTGGGTCCTGGACTTCACTGAAGAAAGAGAGATAGTGGAGCAGGTAAGGGTACGAAGTCTGGCTTCTGACGCTTTTGGTCTTGGGCCGGTTACTTCCTACTCATCGTTTTCATAGATAAAACCATAGTGAGTGCGACCCAAGTCTGGACTGTGCTTAGCACAGTGTCTGACGGCTTGCCTAGGGCACTGGAAAAGGTTTGCTATTGCCCGACTGGCGTGGCTCAGTGGTTGAGCGTCGACCTATGAACCAGAAGATCACGGTTAGATTCCCAGTCAGGGCACATGCCTGGTTGTGGGCTCCATCCCCAGTGTGGGGCGTGCAGGAGGCAGCTGATCAATGATTCTCTTTCATCATTGATGTTTCTATCTTTCTCTCCCTTCCTCTCTGAAATCAATAAAAATATATATTTTTTAAAAAAGAGATAAAGATAATACT